GTTTTATGAGAAGCTCAATGAATGATACACACAAATGTTGATTTTTGTTAAATTAAAATTGGACACATTTTAAGAGTTCTTTTTTTTTCGTCTCAGCAGCACATGAAAATGTTCAGTGTTAAAGGGGCAATATCATGTAAAATCAACTTTCTTGAGTTACAGTATATATCATGTTATAATGTTATACTCTCATAAAAAAACATGCCCAAAGCCTTGCTTTGACTCATTCATGCATGTTTGAGAAATCCTGCAGTGTTTATAGGAAGCCATGCTGAGGAGCAAAATGACAGGTGGGGACCAGAATCGCCTTTGGGGACCAGAAACGCCACTGGGACGTGTCTTTAAGCCGAACTTCCACATGGCGGAGCGCCCCCACCGTGCCCATGACTCCTGCAGGCTCTCGGGTGAAATGAAAATGAAACCTAACTGTCTGCTGAGCTCTCAGCATTAGTTCTCACTCAGTGAAGCTCTTTTCAGATTAAAAATACCTTTGAGGAAATTTATTTTTAGATGGCAAGTAAACTGTATCATGGCAGCGCCCCCCCCGGCAACGAAATGGGCAAAACGGAAGCTGAAGGCGGTTCTTAAAGAGACAGAGGCCAATTTCAAGGTGTTTAGAAGAGGAAGTGATGAGAAGATAAGTTTATTTTCTATTTAAACATAAAACAGCATTTTAATAACAGCTAAATGTGACATAGATACTTTATTATGGTATAGTATTTAAATGTATGCCTGAGAAGCACATAGTATTGGCCCTTTAAGGGTATTGAAAAAAGACAAACAGTAAATCCTGYTTGTCTGATTCATCCTGCAGGCCTCACTGGGCAATTTCTTCCCCTGGAGGATAACACTCGTGCGTATCTTATCTTAGTTTAACAACAGTTGGTTCATAGTTAATACACAACACCCTCACCCATTAAAAAAAACTTTTCCACTCACAACGAGCTACTTATTTGATAAAATGTTCCATTCTGTGAATAAATGAACATTTAAGAAATACATACTTCCTTGATTTAAGCAGACTGGTTTCATTCACCAGTGAAATGGCCCTCACTCGAGGATTCATTCAGCCAATTATGTAAACAAAAGATGTATTTTTTTTAAAGGCAGACTCTGTGAAGGCTGCAGACAATGTGAAAGTCTGAGTCGGACTGTATACTGAGAATGAGCTACAGAATGACCTCCTGTCCCTACACAACACATTTAGACAGCAGGCATGCAGACTATGCTGTGTAAGCCCCACATATCCTTATACTAAACCACACGCACAACAATTAGTGCTGCCGGAAGAATTTAACAACAGCTGGTGAAAGTTAGACGCAKCATTTGCAGCAAAGCTTTTCTTTTCCATTCAAGGTGCTCAGCTCCAACTTCATTCAGCTTTTTAGGATTCATGTGGTTGTTAATTCCTAATGAAGGTTCACTATTCAGAAAGAACTAACAGGTAAGTTTTCAAAACACGATTGATTTACTTCAGTCAATTTTGCTTTCTAATTGCAGTAAACAAGTCTGAAAAGCCAGTTTTAATAGGTAAAAACTAAACTATAAAAATGATTTATTGCACAGTAACAACTACTTATTATTAATCAAACTCACACCATCTAATTTAGCTTCTGCAATAAAAGACATTTGGACCTCTGACATATAAAACAAAAAATAAACTAACGGTGGTACTCTGAATGCATTGAACATACTTCCTACCTGAAAGTAGAGGCCTGCAGGAACCAAAGCCCCATGAATGGAAGGTCATTCAGGAGGAGGCAAACTGGCCTGGAAAAAGATCAGGAAAACAAATAAAACAATTCTTCAACATTACATCTTTTTTAATAACAGGAAGTGAAATTTTGTTGGACTTGACATCTGTTACACAACTTTAACATATACKTGCACACCTTTCACCTGTTCAGCAATGGTGGGCACAGCTAACAAACAAAAAATAAAAATAATTTTATAATATCTGCTAAACAAGAATCTTAGCTCTACTAACACTAAACCACTAAACAGATTAAAAAAAGAAAAAGAGTGGAAGCTAACTCTAACCAATAAGTCAACTGTCACTCAGACACAATCATCTCTTTCCAGTTTAATTYGAAGGTAGGTGGGATCATTTGTAGCTAATYGGCCAATCAGAACCTTGTGATACTTTCCTTTTATCCCTTGTGAATATTCAGGAASTTAATGWAGCAGAAGCTAATCGGTTTGCTAATGGTTTCCAAAGTTAGCAAAAAATCTWATCTGCTAATTGAGAAGCTAGTTCCGCTAATAGCAGAACTGTGCCCACCCCTGCAATTCAGTTAAATTTAGTTCATCTATATGGCACCAGTTTACAACAAAAGTTGTCGCAGGACACCATATAACAAAAAGAAGAAAATTCAAGTTAGCCATAAAATTTAAGATTTAATTTTTTTTTGTATTATTTAAAAAGGACAATGCACATTAAAAAAGAAATGTGCCAGATTTAGCTAATTTTCATATGCATTCCCTGGTAGTTTGATGGTAAATCACAAAAAGAGCAATCAAATATGCGAACAAACAAAAACTTAGAACAAATGCACCAGCAAGATCATAAAAAATTGATTTTAAATCTAAATAAAGACTAGACATGGGTTTTTACGATGTAAAAACAAGTGTGCATTGCCATGTAGCATGTCATTGCAGCATGGTTTTGCCTGCAGCATTGGACTTGCAGAATGAAATGTGACCAAGTTCAAATGTGTTTTCTATACCAGCTTGTGCTAACACGTGAGCAGGTGTTTGTAATCAAGGTAATTGTGTGACAATATGAAGTTTGAAGAGATTTGTTGTTAAAGTTGCTTTAGCTGGG